TCACATGATGTCCCGTAAGGTCTGGAAGGAAGTGTTTTAGAGCTCGAAACAGGGCCAACATCTTCAGGCAGTTGATGTGTCACGTGAGATGATGGCCTTCCCACAGACCTCGGGCTCAGCCCGTGAGGGAGGCATCTGTCGTTAGCGTTACACGACAACAAGGAGCCCCCAGCGACGGCCCTTGAGACAGGAACCAAGGTTTTTTCCACATGTCTAAGGCATGTAAGAATCGCCGCATGACCTTGATCATGCGAAGCGGGTTCCCCCTCGGGGAAAACACCTTGGTTCTAAGCCACCACTACAAGATTCTCATGTACAGCAGGCCAAAAGGTATCACGTTGGACGCAGCTGCCATCAGACCCAACAGTCTCTGAAACTGTTTGACACTGAGTGACTGGCCTTCTCTCACTCTCCTCACGGCTGTGAGAATCGCTTCGATACGAGCAGGAGACAACTGTGCCTGCAACGTAGTCGAATCCCACACCATGCCCAGATAAGTGGTTCTCTGTACTGGAGAAAGCATACTTTTCTTGACATTTAGCCGTAACCCCAGCTCTTTCACATTGGCGAGGATGACATCTCGATGCCGAGCCACCATGTGCACTGACTGAGCTAATATCAACCAATTGTCAATGTAATTCAGTATGCGGATGCCTTGAAGTCACAATGGAGCCAGGGCAGCATCCACACACTTCGTGAAACTGTGGGGTGAGAGTGACCGGCCGAACGGAAGAACCCGATACTGGTATATTCGCCCCCGAACGCAAACCTCAGGAACTTCCTGTGTTGAGGAAGGATGGATACATGGAAGTATGCGTCCTTGAGATCTATCGTGACAAACCAGTCCTTGGACCTGATTTGAGACACAATCTGGTTGAAAGTAAGCATCTTGAACCGAAATCGTTTGATAGCCCGGTTTAGTAATCGCAGATCTATGATCAGACGCAACCCCCCATCCTTCTTCGGAACGATGACATAACGGCTGTAGCAACACGTTCTATGGCTTCCTTCCTTAAGAAAGTTTCTACCTGCTCAGGGGCCACTAATGTAGGAATAACCCCACTGAAGCGAGGTGGACGAGAACCGAACTGGATTCTGTAACCTCTCTCTACAATGTGCAGGACCCATTGTGAGACATTTGGCAGAAGTTTCCACGCTGCCAGAAAGTCTACTAAGGGAACCAGTCTCTCGAGACTGGCCTCTGGTGTCACTAGAGGAGCCACTTCGGTGCCCTGAAGCGGAAAGGGAAATTCACTCGTCGGAGCTCACTGAGTCCTGAAACACCGGGTGGCAGGGGTATCAGTGAAGCCCCCTGAGGGCACTGAGGAGGATCGGGCTGAGGTGTGTACCTCTCCTCCCCAGGGTGGGCTGCCCTCAGGGTCCTGACCCTGACCACTTGGCCGAGGTCCTCTTAGACATAATAGCGGTCCGGAGATCCGTTTTCTGCTTCGAGGACCCCAACCGAGAGCGCTGCCCCACCCCCTGGTCATTCTGCGGGGGGGTACGGGATGGGACACTCTGTTTCTGGGTCTGGCGATATGAGGAGCTGGGTGGCTGCTTCCGCTCAGCAGTCCCAAAGACCTGGGAACGGCGAGGGAGAACACACTGGAATGCCACAGCCTGCTTATTCGCCTCCTGAAACCTCTCGACGAAAGTGTCTACTGCGCCACCGAAGAGGCCAGAATAGGATAGCGGGGCATCCAGCAGGAAGAATCTGTCCTTATCTTGTAATTCGGACAGATTCAACCACAGGTGTCGCTCCGTAGCCATGAGAGCTGCCATGGAACGGCCGATGGCTCTGGCCGTTTCCTTGGTGGCCCGAAGCGACAGGTCTGTTGCCCGATGTTCAGCGACTACGTCGGATTCCTCTTCCCCCCTATCATCCAGGTCTTTTAGCAGGTCAGCCTGGTATGCCTGCAACACCGCCACAGTGTGCAGACACGCACCGGCCTGACCTGCCGCCATATAAGCTTTCCCAACCAGGATGGATGTCATTTTTACTGGCCTAGTGGAAAGCTTCAGGGCCTTCAGGGACGATGCTGAGGATGGGGAGAGATAGCTCGATAGTGTCTGCTCCACTGCCGGCATCGCCCCATAACCCTTCTCATTCATCCCCACGATGTTAGAGTAGTTGGTTACTGTTGGGCTGAGTATGGTTTCTCCCACGGTCTCGACACCTCGACATGGAGATTGGAGAAAAATGGAAGGCCCTGGCGTGAACAGCCGCTTGCTTTAGTTAAAAATAACAGTGTTCTGTGAATGTTGATCCTTTAATAACAAATATTTATCGGGAGCGTGTATGCTGGGATTTCACAAATTGAATGGTGAAAAACGTAACGCAACTAGTAATGTAACTAATTACTAATTACTTTTGAAATAAAGTAATCAGAACCGTAACGTGATTACTTTTAAAAGGAGTAATCAGTAATCAGATTACATTTTCAGAGTAACTTGCCCAACACTGTCCTGCAGTGCATTGTGGGTAGTCTCCCCCACTGAACGGTGAGCAGACTGATAGGATGGCTAGTAGTGACTTTGCTTTTCTGTGGAGCAGCTCATGTTTAATGCACAGCCCTGCTGAGCTCTGTGTATTGATTTGTAAATGCACGCCATGTGTGTTTATCGGGCTAAGATTCTCACCATTGTTTCAGGAGGCACATTTGCATAGAAGCAAGAGCCCAGAAGAGAGAGAGAGAGAGAGAGAGAGAGAGAGAGGGGAGAAGGGGGCATAACGTGGTGATGAGCTGTAGTTCAGATGTGCTTTAAAGAAAGAAGGGGGAAAAAACAGGAGAGAGACAGATAAAGGAAGTGGGGTGCAAGTTTCAGTTGCTGATTATTGTGATTGGTGGAAAGACCATTTTGTAACATTAATTAATTCATTCATTCACTGTTGTACATTGTTTATTATTTGATTTTTTGCATGTCTGTTTATTATTTAAGGTGTGCATTTTCCACTACGATTGGTTTGCGCTATGTTTAGTGTGCAGTTTTTATGTTTGGTGTGTGTTAATTGTTGCATTTCAAGTGCATTCATTGATTGCTTATTATGTTGCAACTCTACAGCATGATTTCACCATCCAGCTAGGTTCTTCTGCAATTAGCCCATCAACTTCGGTCAGAAATCTTGGTGTATCTTTGATGACCAGTTGACCTTCAAAAACCACATTGCAAAGACTGCTCGATCTTGCAGGTTTGCAATGCACAACATCAGAAAGATCAGGCCCTTTATAACAGAGCATGATGCACAACTTCTTGTCCAGGCCCTTGTCATCTCTAGGCTGGACTACTGCAATGCTCTTCTGGCTGGAACCTTTGTCTTTCTCTTTATTTATTCCTTCAATTTCTAGCTTGTACTTATTTGAACAAATGCCTGAAACTTGGTATTACGAGCACTTCCTGTGTCTGTTTGCCTCTTTAAGAAGAATCGCTTTATGTATTCCCCAATTTTAAGTCGCTTTGGATAAAAGCGTCTACAAAATGACTAAATGTAAACGTAAATGTAAATGTTGAACCTGTGGTTTGTTGTTATGTTTAGTGCACTATATGCTGTTTGTTGTGTTTGGTGTGCACTGTTTATTATATTTTGTTGAGGGTGTTTTATTTTTATGTTTGTTGATTGTTGCATTTGATGTGTGTTATTTATTATATTCAATCTGAGTTTTGTTGTTTTTATGTTTGGTGTATAGGATGTTTGCTGTGCTTTGTTTGTTGTGTTTGGTGTGCACTGTTTATTATATTTAGTTTAATGTGTGTTGTTTGTTATATTTGTTGTTTGTTTTTAGTTATTTGTTTAATCTCAAGTTCTCTTTGATTTTTAATTTGTAGATAAACAGTTGTAGAAACATCAAAGGAAAAAAAAAGATGATCTTACAAATCTTTGCAATTATCAACATTTATATTTTAATTGTTTATGTTTTATTCTTTTAGGGGACACTTTAAATGCATCCAGCAAGCGATTTATCTTAACAAGCCAAATACCAATTGGGGGAGTTCAGATTACAAATAAAAATGAACAATAAATAAATAAAATTAATACATAATGCACTGTTTATTATATTTTGTTGAGGGTGTTTTATTTTTATGTTTGTTGATTGTTGCATTTGATGTGTGTTATTTATTATATTCAATCTGAGTTTTGTTGTTTTTATGTTTGGTGTATAGGATGTTTGCTGTGCTTTGTTTGTTGTGTTTGGTGTGCACTGTTTATTATATTTAGTTTAATGTGCGTTGTTTGTTATATTTGTTGTTTGTTTTTAGTTATTTGTTTAATCTCAAGTTCTCTTTGATTTTTAATTTGTAGATAAACAGTTGTAGAAACATCAAAGGGAAAAAAAAGATGATCTTACAAATCTTTGCAATTATCAACATTTATATTTTAATTGTTTATGTTTTATTCTTTTAGGGGACACTTTAAATGCATCCAGCAAGCGATTTATCTTAACAAGCCAAATACCAATTGGGGGAGTTCAGATTACAAATAAAAATGAACAATAAATAAATAAAATTAATACATAAATTAAATAAAATAAAAAATAATATTAAATAAAAAAATGTTAGCGGTTTTGAGATTTCAACGTCTCAAATTGTGGCCAGTCTGCAATTAATTAATTACTTTTTTTTAATCAAATTGTTCCAAAGGTCTAATTTTTGCCTAACTTCAAGACGAACATCTGAGAAATAGTGGACACTTGAATAAAGCATGACTGAAAACCCTGTTAAGTCTCCTGAGCTATGAAAGAGCAAACTCTGAGCAACATAAATTTCTCTTTGGGTGGTTGCATTTGTGCTTTTGTTAATCGTGCCATGGGTATTGCAAGCATATGTCACTGTGCGCGCGTGTGTGTGTCTCTCTGGCAGCGCACACTTCCTGCAACAGTGGCTAGGGGGTGCATGTGGACAGAGGAAGCCACACTAATATATTCCTCACTGGCTGCTGTGAGCTGGTCACATGGGGAGCCAGTGCGAGTTTAAAAGTGCTTTGGTTTCCCTTCAGTCAGTGCAGTGTGAGCCTTTGCTTGAGACGCACACACATACACACACACTACACGCCTTTACCTACAGAACAGCAACTTTCTGTACTGGAGCTTCTCTGATCTACCCAAACACACGCACACATTTTCACATCTGTGTGCAGCTACAGAAGACAAGACACAGGCATTAAGGAGCGGAGGAAGATAAGGCAAGAGACGGAAGCAAACGCTTTTAAGTAAGTACCTTGATTCTATCTCTTCTTTATAAACTGTCAGTCATTTTTAACAGGAATGTTTTGTTGCATGCGATGCCATTTGGTTTTGTGCTTTGAGGGACATGCAGAGATGGACAGATTTTTTTTTGGAGCTCCTATTTTGGAAGCTGTTGGGATCAACAAATGATTGGCAAATGTCACCTAATGGAATATTTCCTGTTTGCTTGAGGTGTCACAGTATTCACAAGCCGCAGCGTCTCCCGGCTCTCCACTGCCTGTTATGCACGTGTTAGAAGGATGCGAGCGAGTGTGTTAGACAGCCGCGCACCATGCAAGAAATGTGATTCACGCAGCCTCGCTCCGGGAAGAGGAGGCAAACAAAGTGGCCAGTTTGCCGGAGAGGATAGACGGGGGTGAGGATCAGGGTATGGAGGAATGGGAGAGAAAGACGGGCAATCGAGTGAAAGTGGAGAGGCTTTGAAAAGCCCTGACACTAGGCAAACAATTAGCCCCAGCTTCTGTTATCTGTGCCTTTTCTGTAGCCACTGCCCTGAAGGCGCGGGCCAAGAGAAGAGCTGACCCAGTGTCAACACTCCTGCATGGAAGCCATTATCAGGACCTGATTGATTAGTTTTAGCGGAAATCTCCTCATCTCCTCCTCCTTCTCCAGCTTGGGCTGCTGCATTTTGTTCTTTGGCTGGGCTTGTATCTTGCCGGTTTCCCTGCCTTTACTTTTTTCATCTGTCTCTTGGACTTTCGTTGTGGGTGTAAATCTCATGGAAACTTGTCCGAGTCACATTAAAAAATAAAAATAAAAAAATATTTTGCATGAAGAAAACATCAGATATTATTATTATTATTTGCCTTTTTTTGCCTTTATTTATTTATACATACAAATTAAATCACTATAATGCATGTCGATTAAATTATAGAATGTTTATTTTAAGTTTTATTTTTTTAATTTACATTTTAAGAATAAAGAAATAAAATAAGAAATATCAACAAATGTATTAACAAATATTAAGAAATGTATTAAAAAAAATCTGTCTATCTGTCTATCTATCTATCTATCTATCTATCTATCTATCTATCTATCTATCGTCGGCTTTATTTATTTATGGAAATTGTCATGTCACAATGCAACGAAGGAAAAAGATACATTTTCATTAAGCAAAGTATAATGTTTTATTACTTCCTTTTGATCGCGCATTAAAATATGACCTGGACACATTCTTGACAGGTTTCATGAGATGCATCCTTAAGCATATCTACTGGTCTTTTTTACTTATTGGGATGCAACATCCATTTATTGGTGGGCTAAAACTCTTTATCTGTAACACAGGGACATGCTGCGGGGGTAAAGCTCTTTGTCTTTGGTTTTAAAGACTCTGCCCTCCTTACATTAGCCCAAAGGGGGGTCAGCTTAACTCTGGCAGGGTTGACACTGCCTTAATGACGCCCTGTTTCATGCCTTATTGAGAGCGGTGACTGAATGGCTGCCGGACACCTATTTTCTTTTTAAATGAGGGTCTCTGCTTTCTCTGTGCAGCGTTTCAGTTCATAAAGCCTTCACCGAAGGGGCTCTCGCTGTCATCTGAGCAGCCTGTAGCTTGGCACCTGGTTTTAGTTTGACTCATTCCACACAAACGCAGTAAAAGAGCAACACGCGCCCGTCCGGGAGCTCATTTGGATGTAAATAAAACTTTGCAGGCTCAATAAAAGAGCTAAAGTGTGGCGCACGTGCTACATTAGGCTTAATTAAATTAATACACTCCTATCGGCAGATTAAGCAGGACGTCTTCAGGTCTGGTATCACGGTAGGGATTCGTCTCGTGGAGTGTGATTCGAGACCCCATGCTCGCGTTTTTCACTCTAATCTCTCCGTCCTGCCCCGGAGCCGTGTTTATGATTCAAACACATAATATTTCCCTTAACATACTTACCCCTTGGATAAACATCCTTAAACAGATGTCAGAACGCAGGCTGATCACAGACAACGGGGGCTGCCGATGCTTTCTTCCCCAACATACACAAATTCTACAAATTAGAAGCTGGTGCTTGCGGAATCCGCCAGGAAAACGCTTCCCACTGCTCTCATTTTCAGAGCCAGGGCCACACTGAGATGAAATAGTCTATGATCTTTATGAACTGAGTTGTTAAAGCTGTTGTGATGTGTTGGTAATCTGCTGCTTATTAAATTATGATTTGATTGATTTATTTATCATTTCGTTTGCGTGCGAATTTGAAGCCTGTGTCCTTTATGCAGTAAATAACTGCTCATCTCGAAAATTCTTGTTATTTTCTTGACTCTTCCAATTTAGCCCTTCACTGAGCTAACTAATGTGATGTTGCCACCGTTTGATATTGAGAATGTGAATGCCGCCAACCCCATGCGCTGTATTAGTATTCATTAAAATGTATTTAAATGCGAGAAGTCTTGTTTTGACTTCCACATGGGTTTTTATGTGGAAATGAATATTTATATCACTTAGATAGACAGTATAGAGTAAATTTGCATTTCCTAATGGAAATACTAGCCTTTTGCGTTTTTTAAAAACATTTTTTACCATGGGTATTTAAAGGTGTGCGTACAGTGTTTGGCGCAAATTCATAATAATATTGTACGCAGTCTAATTTTTGAACCAGGTTTTGCACAGTTCACATACGCTCAAATTTTTGGTCACACTTTAGTTTGAGGACCAGTTCTCACTATTAACTATGACTTTTGCCTCAATAAACTCCATATTTTGCTGCTTATTAATAGTTAGTAAGGCTGTTTAGGTATGTGGTAGGATTAAGGGATCTAAAATATGGTAATTCAGAATAAGGCATTAATATGTGCTTTATAAGTACTAATAAACATCTAATATGCTAGTGATGTGCATGCTAGCTAACAAACTACTGGAGATGGCAACAACAATTGACGGTAGCATTAACAAGCTTAGAAGATAGATGCAGCTCTGGTAACGTACATAGATATCTTTATCAGTTATAATGTCTGGAGAGAAATAGCGCAGACGCTAGACAAAGATGAACATTTATTGTGTGCATGTGTCAAGTTTCTATGTTCGCGCGCGCTGTCAAGAAAGTTTTAGACAGTCTAGCACTCGGCTATACGTATACGTTAAGCATTCGCACCAAAACTGACATTTTTATTTTGCCTTAAAACGTAATGTTTACATGTTCAGCTTTGGGAATGAAAAATGAAATGGCATTGCTTTGTTTCCTGCTGGCTGTATAGAAGAACAAATTCACCACATGACACCATCTTTGCGATATGAGGACCAATGGGAACACAGTATGCAAATGTCACGATGATGTAATCACAGCCAGTTACATTTTAAATGCTGTCCATAAAAAATTAGAGATGCACCGATCGATCGGCCAGGTATCGGAATCGGCCGATTTTCCTAATGATCGGCCCGGATCGGTGATCGGCCGGTCAGTCTCACTTCTTTCCGATTTCGAGCCCATCCGTTTTGTTACCAGCGGCACGGGCAATAACGTCAGTCGAGCATTCTCGCTCTCTTCTCTTCTCCGACGACCCCTTCTCTCACACACACGTCTCATTCACTCCGGTTAAATAGTGCTTGTTTTGCGCATTATAGTCATTCCCGCAGGTTTCGCGCTTACACCAAATGTGCGCGCACCACCACTGATCAAGAAATGCTCAGTCTCAAACAGCTTGTGAGCCACAAATACCAAAATGAGTGGCTAACTGCGCTAAAACGTTCAAATACATAAACAATTATGTCAAAATGCCCGTTTTGGCGAGTATCCAGTTAAACACAGTCAGTTTTGGAACGTTAAATAGTTGAGAAAGAGAACGCATGTTGTGTAAAAGTATATTGGGTCCGTGGATAAACTCTCAAAGGGACCGCAGTCCAATTTCCTGCTGCTGTCTGTCATATTAATCAAAGAACAAAAGACAAAGAAAATAATTTTCTGCTCTTGACTGAATACGTTTTATAACTTTAATGGTAAGCATTAATCTGTATTTAATTTTTACTAGGAAGACTACAGAAATTAAAGTAATCAAATCTAAAATAACACTAGATGTGTAACAACTTAGTTTCATAGCTCTCTTTATTCTACTGCATTTATTTGTGCTGTCGTTTGCAATTTTTGTTTTGTTTTTATTTTATTACTGACTTTTTACAAGAAAAGTAGATGTAATTTGTATGTGCTGCCAATTATAGTTCTTAGAAAGAAAATCGGAATCGGCAAAAATCTGTATTGGCAGATCACACTAAAAATAAATCGGAATCGGCCAAGAAAATTGCAATCGGTGCATCTCTATAAAAAATATATTCCGCACATCTAAGCCTGAAAAGATCTGCAGCACAAAGTTTGAATGGAGTGATTAAGCAATTCAGGTAGAAATGACAGAAACAACAATTATATCATGAGTTTAGAACATAGTGCATTCAAATGTATCTTAATTATAAATGTGTCTTTGCACCTTGCTGCTCTGATTGAAATCTATTGTTTCTGCCTGGGTATGGAAATGATATGTTATATGCTGTAGATGAAGCCATCTGCATGTTGCATGGATACCCGATGTCTCAACTCATGTACAAATGTGTTTAAAAATCATATCACCGTTATTGAAAAAAATTATATCGCGATACATATTGATATCGAATTATTGTCCAGCCCTATGTACATGTCTGTAGGTGGGCTGAACATGTACAGTGGTGTGGACAGCTTTTTTCCCTTAATAAATAAAATCATCATTTAAAAACTGCATTTTGTATTTACTTGCATTATCTTTGTGTAATATTAAAATTTGTTTGATGATCTGAATCTTTTAAGTGTGACAAATATGCAAAAAATTTAAAAAACAGGAAGGGGGCAAAAACCTTTTCACACCACTGTATAGGGGTTGTAAATCCATCTATATATTTGTTCATTGACACCTTTGGGTCAACTTTGGATCAAAGTATCCCTCCTGTTATGAACAGTCAATGCACTAACTCCACCAAACCCCGATGTTCCTCCCTCCCAAAGGACTCTTCAAG